TCTTTAGCTCCATAGTCCTGCGGCAATCCTTGCTGGCATATGAGCAGTAGAGTGATGCAAAATTTGAAATTTTCGCTCCACAATACTTAAACGATTCCAAGTCGGATCCTGACTAACCTCTCAAAATTTGAACCCCTTTGGTGAGAAACTGAGATGGCACAAACCATTTGAAGTTTGTATGGGAATTACTATGGGAAAACCAAGATTTTTGTTCCTGTCTATCTAATAATTCACCATATCGGTCTGCTTCAAAAGCTTCTAACTTTACTTGTAGGAAATTTTCCCAGCTGCTGAAGACCACTTTTTGATTAAATGCTAGGATCGAAAGTTATTGATGGTTCAATGCACTGATGTCTTATGATCATGCTCAATCAACTGCTCAGCAGGCAACATTGGTGTTTCTGGGGCGTTGAATAGGACACAAAAATTATGGCTACTATGTCACACTGCAAAATACAGTTTTGCCTACAGAGCAGCTGCTTGATCATGTCATAAGTTTACCAATCTCTTAAATAATTAATAACTATTTCCTGTCTCGTTTTACATAGAAACGAACTTCAGCAAAGTTGTAGCTGAGAAAATTTTCTATAAGAATAGTTATCGAGCTGTTTTGCAGCTCAATTTGGAAAAAGACTAGAAGGCAATGAACAAAAAGTTGAGATTTCTCATAGTAATTTACATGTAAACTTCAAATGGTTTGTGCGAAGTCTGTTTCTAACCAAATGACATGTAGCTTTTGGAGGCTAATCACGACCCGATTTGAAACCATTTAAGCACTGTGGAGCGAAAAAGTCAAATTTTGCATCAGTCTAATGAGCACGTATATTCGGAGCAATAAATTTCAAGTTATGATGCCTCACGTGTGATTAAATCTAACTCGATCTGGTGTATTACATTATATCATTCCTAGAATCTTGTTCTGCATGATTTATGACTTATTATCTTAGGGTCTGTTTATAAACAACGTAGACAGTTTTTTGGGATTCTTGACCCCCCCCCCTCCCCCATGCGTAGACAATTGTCCATACAAAAAAATTAAAATTTGTATGGGCCGTGGATAATTGTCAACCCCCCCCCCCGCCCCCTAAACTGTCTATGTAGTTTATGGACACCCCCTTATATAATTTCAAGTGTACATTTATGGGATTCGTAATGAAATTTTTATAATTTGCAACAAACATTGTTAACGGCGCCGGTGGTGTAGTGGTAAGCGTGATTACCTCTCACCCCAGCAGGCCTGGATGCAATCCCAGTCGGCACCACCGGGATGTTCTGAGGCATAACATCTCTGACCACGCCTTCCTTCGGAAAGGAAGTAAAGCCGTTTGTCCCCGGTTCATGAGTTGATGGGTTGATCGGCAGGGTCCAGGTGTGGGAGCTGCCTGCCTGGCGTCGGTAGCATTGGTGCTCAGCACGGAAAACACGATCGACGGAAAACAAACCAAGGAAAAAAAAAACTAGGACAAAGCAATTGTTTTTTTTTAGAGGAACTCTAACTTAATTCAAGAAAATAGCTCTAAATCGGTCAATTTAAGAGACAAAAGAAAATTATTCTTACAAAGCTGCTTGTAATAAGGTCAGCTATAACTTTGCCAGAGAATGTTGACCTTAATTTTTCAAACAAAAAAGTTAGATTTTTTGATTTCAATGACAATAAGAACCACCTTAAAATTCATTGTCAAAAATGAGGGCCTAACTATAAGGAACAACTTTGTAGAAGAGACTTTAAGTCTAAAGATTCAAACATATCCTTCCAGCTAAATCTGCATTCTGGACCACTGTGCAATGTCTGGTTGATGTCGGGTCAATTTTGAGTGTATGTTGAGTCAATTTCGGGTCAACATCGGGTTGAGGTTTGATAGAAGTTAGGTTGGTGTCGGTTTGGCTTAGATTTTTCGCCGGAATGTCGACCATGTAGATTACCCTCAATTGAATGATATAGGAAATGGCTCTAATGTTAGCATATTGATCTAATATTGGGCCCATCGCTAAAAATATGCTATTTATCAATTTTATCTAGATGAACGCGACAGTACTAATGAATATTTTTGGTCGCTATTGAAAATTTGGTCGATTGCTGAATTTATGTATGGGCATTTGGGCCGACATTACATCCATTTCCCCTATCAAGCGTTTCTCAAATGGGAATGATCCATGGCTTCTTCAAATGACTTAGCAAACTCATATCACCAATTCGAGGTACTTTTGATAGCGAATAGCAGCTTTTCTCATTTTCATCAAAAATGTTCAATTGATTTTGAAAATTTAAAGTACTGGTCGCTATATTTATAGTTTGGCGGAGAGAATTTCGAACTACCAAAAAGCGGAACCAATTCAATGTATTGTAGACCAACTATTGAAAAGGTACTTTCAACTGATATATGGGTCATTCCACCTCAAGTCGGTGCACAATTTAAAAAAGTTGTGGTCGATGTCACCGATTTGGGCCAAACTTGGCCAAAACGCCTATTTTGGCATTCTGAACAAACGCCTTTTTTGATTTTGCTCTAAAGTGCATAGATCCTTCTGGGCTACAACCCTGTATTTTCGAGATTTTTAAAAATTTAAACTTTCAGAAGAGATTACTTCACAACTAAATAAGCTATTCGTGATCTTAGAACGTCAATTTGAACGTTTTGTAATGTATCCAAATTTTCAGAAAATGACCTATTTTCACCATGGGCGAGATTTTTTATTTCCTAATATTTTTGGCTTAAATTTTCACCACATCTTGTAAAACTCTTGTACTTGATGTGTTTCCAAGGGTAAATGATTTGGACAAATAGTTTTTGAGATATGACCAGATGAGTGAGTGGTAGTTTTGAGCTTTTTGGGTGGAAAATCAATACCATTTTTTTTCTTGAATTTCTTCACGCCGATCGCACAATCATATTTATGTTATTTTTCACATGTTCTGGGCAGGATTCTCAATACATGAAATCATCACTATCTCATTTATTTACTTCTGTCCATAATTTAATTGTGGTCCTAAAAGTGAAAAATACGTTCCTAAGAAGTACGATGAAATCAGATAGATTAGCAGGTATGCAAAATGTCAGTTGTGGATGACAGTTGCTACTTGAATAATACCGAATACATCATATCAAGAAGACTGGCAACTTTTCCAAAATCCAAGCGACAGATACAATAGCACTGCGCTTAAGTGAAGGTGGAAGCAACGCATAGAAAAATTAGCAAATACACAAACCTTTCATTTACCTTTGAGCGGCAGACGCGATTGTACCTGTCTCAAAGCGTTCGTATGAGAAAATGGAATTTGGCGAAAATTTGAGCCCAACATATTAAGAAATAAAAAATCTCGCCCATGGTGAAAATAGGCCATTTTTTGACAATTTAAATTCCTGCCGGTTTACTGTTTACTGTAGTTACTATAATAAAAACAAAATTTGGGTGCACCTATAAGAATTAACATTAAAAACCTTCAAATTGACGTTCTAAGATCACGAATAGCATATTTGGTTGTGGAGTAATCTCTCCTGAAAGTTTAAATTTTTAAAAATCTCGAAAATACAGTGTTGTAGCCCAGAAGGATCTAGGCACTTTAGAGCAAAATCAAAAAAGGCGATTATTCAGAATGCCAAAATAATCGTTTTGGCCAAGTTTGGCTCAAATCGGTGACATCGACCACAGGTGGTGTACCCACTTGAGCTGGAATGACCCATAAACAAACATTTCTTTGATATTTCTTTCCTCGCCAACCGAACGCAAATCAACAGGGCAAACTTTCTCTAACCCGACGATGGTGTTAGTTTGCGTAGCCGAGCCTTGAGTAGAGAGTCACGAGAAAAGAGTTTCCGAAGTTTTGTTCGCAAAAGTTGATGTGCTCTTTTCTGTTTTTGGTCGTGATATGCTCGATTGGTTCCACTATTTGACAGCTCAGTTGTTTCCCGAGATTCTATCCGCCAGACTATAAATATAGCGACTATAATGATAATGGGAGGCTGCCGCCAAATCGAAGGCCAAACGCATGGCTTTCTGTGACCTTCACCAACTCCTAACAACCACCAACCAAGCACTTGTATTGACAGTCTGGGCTGCGTTCCGTATCGGATTGCTATGATGATCACTCAACCGTGTGATTGTCACTAGATCCCTTCAGTGTACCTACAGGAATCCGCCAAATAACGCGGTGATTTTTTGTATGTGATTGGGGTCGTAAACTTGTCGCCTACATAAAATCAGCTCAATGAATCACTGTCTGCTGTTAGTTTTCATCTCGTAACTACTGACAGCATGGCGTTACGTTACATCCAAATATCACATTTGGAAGTGAAATGTTTCGGTTAGTTGCATACGAAATAAATCACCGTAATTTTTATTACTAGCGACAACTGTTGCTAAAATTAACCATGCAGGTATTGCTGACTGCAGCTGAAACTGGACTGCCCCATAAATGCAAAAAGGGTGATAAAAGTGTTGATGTCTTCGGAGCACTTATTGCTTGAATCATAAGGAATAAGTGTACCGAAGACATCAAGACGATTAGACGGAAATTCGCACTTTTATCACACTTTTTAATAAGTGAAAACGTGCTTATTAGTCCAATTTGGTGGGAAACACGCAGTAATCCAAAACAGCCGAAAAATTTCGGTAGGCGGACGACACCACCCACCGTGCTATTCGGCGGATTCCTTTACGTGCAAAGGACACAGTCGACAAACTGAACTAAACGAAGCCATAAAGCCAACTTAAAATGCCATCAAGTTATGGGCGTAAAACGCTCGTATAAAACCACCTTTCTCATTACCATTGCGGCACACGATGCGGGCAGGCGATGGTGCGTTCGTTTCACACTTTGTTACGCGTCTACTACACCCACAATGTAGACAGCCATATGGCAGCAGCATAAGCGAAAATGGCAAGGAAGAGGACAATTTTTCTACTTTGGCACGCCACAGACACATAAACTAGTTTCAGTTCTCCCACTCACTGCCGTCGGGTGGGTACAATAGGTATCATCTAATGTTTTAATTACGTACCTCTTGCCACCGCCTTGAATTCCTTCAGACCGGACGCGGGCCCACTGCTGGCGGACGTTCCGGCAACCACCTTGCCGTGGTGGAACGAGCTTTGCGACGTGACGGATGACGGTGGCGTGAGTTGCTGTTTCTCCTGCAGCTGCTGGGACTGCTGCAGCTGCTTCGACCGGTGGCTTCCCTTTGGCGTGTGATGGAAATGCCGAACGTACTTGTCCTCCACCTGCGATACAGTAGGCCATTAGGGTCAGCCATTAACATTTGACTTACGATGAGGATGACGGGTAAAAGAACCCAAGTAAACTCTGTTTGCGATGTGCGTCAGTGTTTGTTTGTGTGGGTGTGAGTGTGAAAGTCGATAACAATGAAAGGTCAACTTTGTAGGCAGTGCGTAAACAAAGGGAAACTATTGAAAGAAAGCAAAATATGTGTTCTGAGAGATAGTACTGACCGGTTTTCCGTTGATAAGCCACGTGATGTGCGGGGCGGGTTTGGCCTTGGAGGTGGTACAGTTGGCCTTCAGCATGTCGCCGTAGTAGAGCTGCTTCTTGGCAAACTCGATCGTTGGAGGTCCTTTTTGGGAGACTGTGAAGATTTGTAATTAGGAAAATAGAGGTTGATGGGTAGATTTGTTCGAGAGGATCAACAATACTTACGTATCACGTGGAACGGTTCTTCGTTGGATGCTTTTGTGAAGATTGGAGTGTCGGTCGATACCTCGCAATAGTATGATCCGGATGCCTCGTAATCAACGTTCTTCAGTGTCAACGTCGAGAGCGTCACCTTTTTCCACTGTTGTTGTGAAGGAAGCAGAAGGTTAACTATAATCATGGCCCAAAAAGGTGAAATGATGGGTGCTTGATCGATACAAAATGGACAAAAAAGAGCATATGCATTGCACCACTTCAGACTCGTGTGCAAAACATAATTTCGCACAGGCCAGAAAATTGAAAAATCCTATCAATAGAAAAAGCTACAGTAATGAATTTGCGCTCTAGAAAACTTCAAGAAGCTCAATATTTAAATGGTATGACCAGTTCATTTTTTTTTTCACATTGAATTCCCAAGAATTCTGCACCGCATCAACACGCAAACCGAAAATGTATTACATTCAGTGCTGTGTTCCTGAAATTTGAGCTAAGTATTTGCACCCAATATTGATCTGCGGCCTTAAATTATAAATCAGCCTAAAATAACGATGCGTCCGCCCCTGACGTTGATGTCGTTGTTTCAAATTTCTAGATATTTTCCTAAACATTCGTGGGCAAAATCTCGGGCCAAACAAAGTTCCCAAAACTGCTAGTAAGTAACCATATCAAAACCTCCACATATGAAGCCCTTAATGCGCTAACACCAAAGCAATGATCTTACTTTCGTAAAGGAAACTTTCATCTAGGAAAGCTCGTGAACCCAACTTTTGCTACTTTTAGCTAAAGTGGAATCCCAAACTCCTCGAGCATGTGTGCGAGTCAATAACGCAATCGTAGCTACGCAAATTAAATCAATCAGATTCTTGTTTCAGACGTTCCCAAGAACTCGTGGCATTACTTCCGAAAGTATTAAATCATCCAGAAAATATAACACTTTCTGAAACCAGTCTATCCTTGAGCAAATCAACATTTTCCCTACTGACCTGAAGCTTTTCTGAAGATATTACATATTTAATGAGCTTTCCATTTTTTTCTGAAATGATTTAAAACTTTTGTAAAGTTCAGTACTGTTCAAAGTGATTCTGTACGTCCTAAGCTTTCTGAAATGGTCCTAATCTTTTCTCAAGTTATTCAGTACTTTCTGGAGTGATTCTGAACTTTTCCAAAGTGATTCCAAACTTTCCTAATGCAATTTCAGTACAGAAAGATCTCATTTTTGGAAACATAACTACAGATATTGGAGGGACCATCGAGTTATAGAAAAAGAATCCCATTCAAAATCCCTATCGCAGTAGCCATGACATTCATGTTTACTATGGTTCTATAGCTCTATATCGAGTTAGTGGACATCGAGTTGACTGCTAAAATCGAGAGCTTTTTCGATGTGTCACAGTCAGGCATGGAAAATCATTTACATTCATTTCATACAATCATTTACATTCATTTGCCTCTAACTTTTTTCATCAACAGCATTCCGCAAAATGATGTGTAGAGCTTTTGTAGGTTTTGTTATTAGCTACAACAATTGCTCATAACTCATATCTGTATCTCTTATGCATCACGAACTAGAGCTGGCAGAACTTGGTACTGTTTTTCAGGGAATGTAAATTACATTCACTGAAAAACAGTAGTGGCTTCTGTTCGCTCTGGTTCGTCATACATCAGAGATATGGATTTGACTTGTTAACAAAAGTTGTAGCTAATAACAAAACCTACAAAAGCTATTGACAGCATTTTGCGGAGTGCTGTTAATGAAAAAAGTTAGAGGCAAATGAATGTAAATGAATGCACGAAATGAATGCAAATGAATTTCCATGCCTGGTCACAGTTGAGTACTAATGTGGCCTAGCGATAAGAATCAATACTCTCTTAAGTGAATCCTGTTGACAAACTATTGAAAAATTCGTGTAAGTGAGGAGAATCTCTCGGTTTCCAACAATGCATAAATCACGTCAACACATTCCTATCAATTCCTAAATTGAACGCCGCCGGCGCTGTTATTGCCTATCGTAAAGTATGAGATCACCAGTTTTTGCACATTGCAGATGCATGCTAGTCCCCCGCATCCTTTGTTGCTTCTCTGTATAATACAGGTAACCTGGTAATAACGGAGTAGCAACCGCGAGCGGTTAATCATTCTCATGCTAAATTATGTCTGTACTATCCGAAGTGACTCAGTACATTCTGAAGCTTTTCTGCAGTAATTCAGTACTTTTCAAATTGATTCCCAGATGTTCTAAAGTGTTTCAGTACTTTCAGAAGAGATTTCGAACTTTTTTGAAATGATTCTGTGCACCTCAAAGGGATTCCAATTGTTCTGAAGTGATTCTTAGCGGCCATATCATCCATTTCATCCAAAATTTCCTGACTGGCAGATCTTTCCGAGTCTCGGTAGGTAATACTAAATCCTGCAGTTTCTGCGAGGAAACTGGCGTTCCCCAAGATTCAGTGATCGCTGTCACTTTGTTCCTGGTAGCCATGAACAGTGTCTTCGAGCGGTTACTAGCGAACATCTACATTTTCGTGTACGCAGACGACGTGCTAATCGTAGCCACAGGTCAAACTCCGGGTCGAACGTGGATTACAGCCCAAGCAGAGGTTTCCGCCGTAGCCAGATGGGCCGCTTCGAAAGGTTTTCAGCTGTCTGCTGGAAAGAGCTCTAGGTGCCACGTTTGCCAGTACCGACTTCGGGTCTGCGGACCTTCCATAAAGATCGGTAATCAAGCTATCCCATTGAAGAAAACTGTGAAACTGCTGGAAGCTGTCATTGACCGGTCGCTGAGTTTTGACCAGCACCTTCAAGGGGTCAAGCCCAGCTGTCGCAGCAGGATCAACCTGATCCGCACAATCTCCCGTCCCCACCGGTCCAACAACAGAGAAGTACGCTTCCGTGTTGCCCGGGCCATCGTAGACAGCCGGCTGATGTATGGAGCTGACCTGCATCGCTACCGATAAGGCAATACAAATACTCGCTCCGGTGTACAATAGCTAGACGCGCATCATCTCCGGCCTCCTACTCTCGACGCCAGCCGATGCCAGCTCTGTCGAAGCCGGCACTCTCCCTTTCAGGTACCGCATCTACGCAGCCATTGCCAACAAAACCACTGCATTTTCAGCAAATACCGCCGGAAACGACAGAATCTGCCTCCTCAGCGAGGGGGACAGAGTTCTCCGTACAATCGCCAACGCAGAGCTCCCCCCAGTGGCCAAGATTCACTGGTATGGAGATAAGAGTTGGCAATCTCCCGCACCAAACATCGACAGCCGGATAAAGGAGAAGTTCAGAGCCGGGGACAATTCCGTAGCCCTTAGGAGATCGGTAACAGAGCTGACCGGATTGTACCCAAACTACATGCATCGTTACACTGACGGGTCAAGATCTAGAGCTGGAGTCGGAATGTGAATCGCTGCTGACATTTCTCCAACAAGCACAGTGTTATTCAGGCCCTTTCGTTGGAAGTCCCGGTCCACCCCTGGATCCAGGTAATCTTGAAGGTTGCGCCACTAAACACTACATACGCATGGATTCCCGGACACTGCGGGATCCCAGGGAACATCGAGGCGGACAACCTAGCCGGGTCATGCCCATCGGGTCCTCGGTGCTCACACAAGGTACCGTTGCAGGAAGTGAAGAGATGGATCACTTTCACAGTGCGGACAGCTCCGGACAGGACACTCCCTAATCTCACGGGATTTCAGCGGAGTTGGTGTTTTCATCACAACAATCTTCTGGGCCGTCGATATTTCACGACGGTGGAAAATCCTTCGAAAAGGAACGGGTAAGCCCCATCAAGTACTTTCTGGAGTGATTCAATTATTGTCGAAGTGATTCCGTTCTTGGGAAAATGATTACAAGCTTTCTGTGATGATTCTGTACTTTGCAATGTGAATCCGAAATTTTCTGAAATAGTTCAATATTATCCAAAGAGGTTTCGAGCTTTTCTGAAGTGATTTCAAACTTTTATGAAGGGATTGAATACTTTTTGAAGTGATTCCGAAATTCTTGAAGTAATTCAGTACTTTCTGAAATGATTCAGTACTTTCCTAAGTGATCATGAACATTTCCCAAGTGATTCAGAACATTTGGTATTTTCCGAGGTGATTCCGAACATTTCTAAAGAGATTCACTGCATTCCCAAGTGATTCAATTATTTCCGAAGTGAACAGTGTGTCTACGCTTTCAACTATACACGCTAGAATTTTATTTATAACATTGTAGAACGACGAACACACTTGCAACGCTTCTCTCCAATTCCCCTTCAGCAGAAAAAATCGCGTATGAGAGGAAATGAGCGCTTCTTATTTGTTTTTAGCCTATCCATTAGAGTGGCCCAAACTAACACTTTGTTTAAATGCCTGGGAGCTCACCCTCTAAATGATAGACATGAATGTTAAAAACAAACTTTTGTATGGTGACAACTCTGAAAAATGTGATTTAGAGATAGCCCAAGGGGTAGTCTCTCTACACTCTTTTTTTGCGCCAACATTGTGCCTCAAGTGTGCCGCGCCGTGCCGAGAGCAATGTTGGCACGAGCACTGGAGTTTAACGTTTTTTTTCCTTAACATTTGATACTTTGCGCAAATACCATAGAGAAGACACACAAATGCAAACCGGCAAGCGGAAAAAATGCCATGACATTTCTAAACTGCTTTTTGCAGACGACAGAACATTTTCTCATTGGGCGAAACAAGACCTGCGACATAAATATATGTCATGTAGAATTTTGCTGTTTTCCGGCTAATTATAGCATTTATTTGATGTTTATTGCATGGAATCATAAGTTAAGAATGAATACTAACCACTCATAAGAGGAAGAAATGGAAAATAATGGGCTACGGCATTATTACTATTCTATATCTACTGTTGCCACCTCTGGCCGAGAGTGCCGAAAGTGCCGGACTGACTTTGTATGTTTAGCAAACCCGTTATTTTGATAGTTCAAATGTTTTGGTTTTCAATCCGATGACAATGGTCACGTCAAAGCCAGATCAACAGAAACGACATTCGGCCGGTGGAACGCTTCCGATTCCGTGTGAACCACACAGGACGATCTATTCAGATGGGAAGTACCGCGGGGAAGCGATTCACTACGATGGCAACGTGATCGACATACGGCAGACAAACAGACGTAACTCTTCATT